CCCTGTGTCAGAAAACTATTTTACTTTAATCCATTTTTTCCTATATTTTTTCCTTTTTTCCCGTTATTTTTTGGGGTGTCCTATAACTGTTCCCATGGAATGACTCCCCCCCCGCCCCCTCCCCACCCAGTGGGCCTGCAAAAGAGCGCCAGGGACCCGAGGCTCCCTCCGGCCGGGCCAAAAATCAGGTAAGCAACCTGAATACGGCAAAAATCAGGTAAAATTACCTGAAAATCGTCAAATCAGGTAAAATTACCTGAATCCCGAAAAAAGTTACCTGAAAGTCAGGTAAGCGGTTTCACCGTGCAAATCGCCGATGCGAGTAAACAGCACACCGCATTGTTGTTGCGATTGGGGCTCTGTAGGATTTGTAATGTCCATAAAATTCGTTCAGTTTTGTACAAATGTTTGTACGAAATTTGTCACAGAGCTGTATCCCTTTATTATAGATACCGTTATTTGTTTCACGTGACGAAAGTCAACCACGTGGATCAAACCAATCCCTGAAAAACAACCACTCAGGGTCAAAACCCATTGGGGTAGAGAGGTCCTGTTGAGTTGTATCGGAAGCAAGACAAAACTACATGAACAGGACTAAAGTCTGCTCAGGTTTCCAAGTCCAATCCCCATGAGACCCCCCTCCCCTCTTTTCTCTCTCTCATAAGAGACCGTGAGAGCAATCAACTCGAGGGGGCAAGAACTCCGGGAATCATGTGTACACCTGCCTGGGAATCATCAGGTTAAAAATTTATCGAAATCAACATAAATCGCTTTAATAGATATACACTTAAATAGACATACATCTGTGATTATCGTGACATTGTACTTTCATCTTGGCAACTAGTCCGACAAAATGTAATAAGGGCGCATTTTAACAATTACAACTAGCAAAAATGCGGATAATATTTTTTACCAATTGTTTTTTCGAATGTGTCATAATGTTTCTTAATGTTTCTGAGTCACCTCTGAATGTTATATTTTCCGGTGCACTACAAATAGTGTGTGGAGTCACTACAAAGACAAAGGTGCAAAAAAATACACCAAAAAACAACACACAAACCATTTTAAGGGTGCTGGGGATTTTTAGGGGTGCTGCTTAGTTACAACGGCATCGAAAGGTGCCAAAAAATATCACCTTTTGTGAGGCACTTACTTCACGACGGCCTTCAAAGAAGGGATTAGAAGGCACCCCATTTGTTTTTCTGGTCTAGTTTCAAGGCGACCACCAGTAGAGAGCCATGCCGCGCCTCGTGGAAGGCCCACTTTCCATGTCGGTTGTCGTGCCACTTTGACGTCGGCGGGGCCCCGCAGTCACGCCCCCATCATTACCGGGCAGTATTCCTCATCATTCCCCATTCTTGATAAACTCCGGCGAGAGGCAATGAGGAGCACGACAGCGTGATTTTGGAGCGCGCCCGCCTCGCGCCGCGGCCGCGACCCCCCAGTGCGCGCGCCTCCCTCCAGAGATGGTCACGCTGCTGGAGAAGAAACGGTTTGTCGGGGAAACTTTAAAAAGGCTAAAGATTACAAACTCAAAAATTTGCAAATATTACATGTAAACAGTTGTGTTACAAATTGTAAAATTACGAAAGATTTAAGACTTGGCTTGGTGTTTTTTTTTACGACTTTATGCGACACTGCGTTTGTGCGAACGAACTTCGTAAATTTACGATTGCACTCGTAAATTTACGAAGTTTCACTTGCAAAGCAAAATTACGGCAAATTTTGCAAGTTTTACAGAGTTGCACACAGTCTGCATATATTTCATTGTGAGTCAGCCGCAATGTTTTTTGTATCCATACTGCGCAGGCAAATGGCCAAGGTACCGGCCGCGCAGGGTCTCGCGAGCAGGACCTTGCACCTGTTGCGAGCAGACCTGTACATTTGCGATGTCGCCAATAAGGACGAAGGCCCTCTCACCCAACACCTGCGGTGGTGGGTGCGAGTTGTATCGGCAGGCGAGCTCCCAGGATGGAAAAACTACCTCTTGGCGTTCTGTCGACAAAGCGTGGTCAGTGAACATAAAGAACAACTACATTCACCCTTCATGCCGTATGGTCGCCTTGATTTCCAAAAGTTTGGCTTTCTTTTTTGACTGGCAATTTTTGACATTTTTATGAAGACTGGTTTTTGACGGCTTTGCTTCCC